TTGCTCTGGTTGTTAGGAGGGGCATCGGCCTCGTGGCTTCCGAAGGAACTCGGCTTTCACCATGAAGCGTCATATTACCTCTAACTCCCAGGGCAGAGTTTAAATGGTTTGAGTTATTTTTTCTGGTTAGCGTTTTTTTAGCGAGTTAGTTTTCTACGGGATGGGGTCGCTAACCCATGCCCAACCCTCCTCCTTTATCCGGGCTTGGGACCGGCAGTAACTCTGGAAGAGCTACAGGCGGAGTTCCGCTTGTCACCACTTTTGTGAAAATCTATAAACTGTAAAAGTAAGAACGTTCAATTTTATAACTCCAAAAAAGATTTCCAACTAACACATTTGGATGAGTTTGGTGGTGGAGCCATAGTTTGACTTTGAACCACTGGGTCACCTGTTCTTATTCTGATATACCTACTTTCCAGTCTACAATTCATCACCAACTCTTACACTATGGGTATGACTCAAAAATAATTACAGATCCTTTGTACTTGGTTAGCAAATGGGATTAGAAATTTAGGCTCATGAGACAGAAAATTCTGGTAATATCGAAGTAGAAACTATCGGTCGAGATTAATTGCTTGAAGTTAATGGGTATATATTATCATGCTTTCGTAAGTTGAGTCTTGGAATTTTTCGATATATTATTAATTAACAAATATTTTTCACCTCTTATTTAGGTTTAATACTTTCGATGGTAGTACATAGTTTCCATACATGGCTTGTTACAGGAACTAGTCGTGGACATCTTATATGTTGGGATTTAAGATATAAACGTCAGATAGCTTATACAGAACATCCATACCAACCAGGTATAGGTATTTTAGATTTGCAAATAGCTGAAACTCATTCTCGGTTTGAACTGGATAAAAAGTATGCTGGTCAAAATCGCCCTCAGTCATCCGAGAAACCATATCAAGTAGGACAAACGTTGGTAAGATGTTGATGTCATTTGATATCCTGCATTATGGATGAAATATGATACATGATAAAAACTAAAAACTATTTGACCATGATTGTACTATACTAGGTCTATGCACGGATGATGTGATGTTATATTTGTATTCCACTGAGCATATTTGTTTTAGAGAAACATCTACGTTAATATAAAGTTACAGGGTTCTGATTTTGGGATAAACTATAAATTTATCATGTGTTTTGTGATATGACGGTGTTCTTAGGTGAAAATATCTTCGACAAGGAGATATTTTTCATAAATTTTGAGCAGTAAGAACCTATTCCAAATATTTTTGAAATATAATTCGGAGCATTTATAAGACTGGATTTTGTCAGATTTCTACATCAAGCACAACTATATGATCCGCGTACTCCAAGTTGAAGATTGGATCTCCAAGTAGGTAGTCGACTACTAAAAATTGAAATATAGTGTCGTTTCTAGAGAGACGTCTATCGAACACCACTTGCTATGACTAAGTTAGATTACTGTTTGGCATTATCGCTGATCTGGTCAATAATGTCCCAACGCAGGGCTTTCAGACGTAAAATAATTTTGACACTGATTCAGGTTACGAACACTGCCACGAGACTTCTGGGTAGACAGTGTCGCATTCAAGCTAAGTAATATGACTGCAGTTGAGCGTCGGTATGCATACCCGTTTTAGAATTTTGTCAGTGTAACAATTTAACCAACACATCTACGTCCAGATCCTAAACCTTCAATCGGAACCTATTAGACAGAATTACATCCTACTTAGTTTAAGTGATAATATTGGATCATCATACTTCGAGACCTCTGGAATTAGCTTAGAAAGTCATAATGTTTTCTCACTCGTTTGCGATTATTTTTTTCCCAACCTCTCTAACAACCGGTGATTCTTACGCATATCTTTCATTGATGGGTAATGCATGTCAACTGTTTAAATTGTTAATTAAAGTGTGATTAGAATAACACCTTTCTTATTTTAGAGGCCTTATTGGTAACTAGTAGTGTACTCTACAATGTTATTTTCTTGGTTGAGAATAATACTGGTCGCTGAAACACTGATTTTCTAAACGTTGGAGTTGCATCTCTACATATGACGATCAAGGATAAGGCACAGATTATTTGCAGCAGATGAACAGTAACTTATATTATATTACGATGCCAAGTCAATGTTCCGAACACCATTGTTATTCTCAGCCAAGGCGAAGCCCATAGTTGTCATCAAGCAACCAAATGGCTCACTGCGAATCTGTACAAATTTGTTAGCGGGATTGAATGTTGCTCTGGAGCAACATCACTATACCTCATCAGTCCCGGACGGTCTGTTTACTATTCTGAACAGTGGAAGCTATTCTGTAAAGTCAGACCTAGTTGAGTCTTACCTACAGGCAGAGGTTGAGTCTTCATGCCGGGAATTACTGATAGTAAACACTAGTCTGCAGTTATTTCAATATAATCAACTACCGTTGGGATAAAGATGGGACCAGTAATTTCCCAGCAACTAATGAACACCATTATAACCGGGATTACAAGAGTAGCTCTTTATTTGGATGATATACCTGTAGTGGCAACATAACTAGAATTACATAGCAGAACTACAGCTGTGTTAAATCGCATCAAAGAACACTGATTCCGGTTACGATCGAAAAAGCGTCACCTTTATTTACGATTGGTGAAGCATTTCGGATTGATATTTGATAGTTCAGAATTCCACCCTGATCCTGGGATTATCCAGGCTATCAATAATATGCTTACTCCACACGATGCACCAAATCTACGTTCGTTCCTCGAACTTACTAGTTTGTTATCAGTGTTTTTGTCATCCATACATGAGATACAAAAACCACTAAATCATCTGCTTCTAAATGCAAATGGATGAAATAGTAGTAGTCTGTTAAGAACTGTATGATTATGAGTTGGATTTCATTTGTCGACAAAATGTCTTTTTGGAATTGTAAAGCCTTATTTACAGTAACTTGTAACTTATTATAAGTCTAACTTCTAAAATTTTATTTAATAGATTATTGCTGCAACCGATCATCATAATGAAGTGACAATCTGGGACTTAGAGTCCTCGGCCACAGCGTCATCATCTGCAGCTATTTCATCCTGTAATTATGGGCTCCCCGGTTCTTTCGCACCAGTTCGCAGTACAGGATGTTTAGCTTCGACGTGGGCTCAACCAGGAAATAAAACACCTCTTGTTCTTGATAGTTCTCTACCACATCGATCAGTCCGATCAATCTTGTGCCTTCCTAACAAAAATGTTATACCGTTTAATGAACATAACAAACCCCATTCTCAAGTTACTCATTTACCAGCTATAGTGGCTGGTGGTAATGATGCACGTTTACGGTATTGGAACTTCCGAAAACCAGAGGATTCGTGTGTTTTAGTTTGGGCTGGGATTGATGAAGCGACCCCTCCTCGACTTATTTACCGGTAAATTGATTTTTGTCATTTCACATTCAGTTTAAATGAGCTTATATCCAGGACGCTGATGTGAACATCAATGTTTATACATCCTACCAACAACACTGAATGTATCTTTTGGTTTAACGTAAGATTCTGTACTTCGTAAAATAATTTTAACCAATCTGTCTGGATTTTAAGAAATTCGAAAACCAGCTCTATGAAAGCATTTTTAATCGTTCAATTATAATTTCGCCTTGAGTTAGACTGAACGCCACTCCAGAACTCCAAGTAGAGAAGTAGCTGCAAGTATGTTAAGAAATATACATTGTCAAAGGTGTAGTCTCGTCTCATTTGTTCCGAATGTTTCGCCTTTCTCACTATCCATTTGGCACCACAGTTCATAAGTGGGTCTTAAGTCATGGAAGCTTAGTTATTATATGGGGTTCCATATATTATGTGAAAAACTTATTTATTTGAACACATAAATATTGGTACAAAGAGGGCATCAAATTCATTTGCGCCACACAAAATTTTATTTGCGTGTGAGCTGTGATACTGCCCAGGTGCCCAGACCGAAGCAGGTAGTTTTCTTAGGGGGCCACACCCGGAACCTTTGACCTAAAGGTCTGACCCACACTGGAGATCTATTGATGGAGATGATAATTCGGTACGCATTAGCTTTAACTAATAAATTACCAATCGTCTTAAAAATGTTTTTACTGTTTGTGTAAAATAAGACAAAATGTGAATAATTTTGAAAAAAAGTATTTAGATATTTTGAGATTTTATCATCAATAATGGGATGTAAAATATTTCACTAAAAATTGGCCTGAATGGAGTAACAGTGTCATTCAATAGTTAAAATCAACATGAAGCCTGTGAAAAGTTGTCACACACCACTAACACGACAAGATGATTAGTGACGAGTCACGTTATTGTAGTTGCAGTTTTATTGAAAAATACTAAATAGTGCGAATTCGGTTCGAGAAACAAGATGTAGAGGTATGTATAAATGAGTAATACTGGGACCAGAAATTCTGGGTAAGATAAAGAGCTAGTGGATCTGGACCACTGTGATTGGTTCTGAGCTATATCAGCCAACGTCTTCAACCACTGTGGTTATCATATGAAACTTATCCAAGTAGTCTGCATCTACTAGAGTGATTTAGACTCATTGAATTTATAGACTGATGTCAGCATTTTGATTTTGCCACCCTCCTAACCAAGATGACAAAATAACCTACTTTTTCAACAAAAAATGTTTCTACATAACTATACTTTCATTATCACACTGAAAGTGAACTTATATTACACATATTTCTTTTAAAAAAAGCTTTCTAAAAAATGATCAATTTCTTCTATTGCTAATAGGTCAACATATGTAAATGATGTCTATGTTTTGATTGAACAAACTGATACTTCTTCCATTACTGATACATCAAATAGTTTGTTAACAAAAACAATGTACACAGAAGTATCACAAAAATTACAATCATCAAGTAATATAACAGAAGTATCAAATAATGCATTCCCTGTGTCAGGACGTTTAGAATTACGTGAATCAACCAAAGGACATAAGAATATTATATCTGATTTAACTGTTCTACAAGCAGGTCAAGCATTTCTAGTCTCTGCTTCAATGGATGGTGTAATAAAAATTTGGCGATAATATATACTAATCATAAATTTATTCATAAAATATTTTCTTATTAATTGATTTCACTAATTTATTAATTAATATAAATTATGATTATGATTATAGAACAATTTCTACTTAGTACACCATTTTATTTTACATATTTATAACATAAATGAAACAAACTTGCAAATATTGTTTAAATATTGGTTATTTCAATTTAAAGTTGTGTACGTTTGTCAAAATTCTTTTTTATTCAAGTTGTTCTAAAGAATTTTGAACATCAATCTAAGCGTTATTTTTTATTTAGTTTTAACCGAAAAAGACAAAATATAACAAACCAAATTATTACATATACAATACAATAGAATTATGATTCACAGAAACGATTTATTTTAATTTCAAATTGAATAACAATATAAATAAACAAGTGAATTAATGAAAAATGCTTACATACAGATAAATTTGTACAAAAATAAAGAAAATAAGAAATTAAAGTGTGTTGTTTTTTCTTATATTACCGCTTTAATACTAAAAGAACCATATAATCACTTGTTGTTGCCAAATCTGAACTTAAGCAAGGTGCTGCTTGTTTTAATAAGCTTAATGCAAAACTGCTTGGTGCAAATAAATATACTATCAAAGATGAACGTCGTGTTGTAGTTGTTTTCTCGGAACTAGTATTCAATGATTCTTGTAGTACTTTTTCTTCATTTGGATAGATTATACCAGCTGATTGTTTTAATTTTAAATAAGCAATTAAAGCGTGTAGTGAAAAACAATGACTTATTGTTGTTTTTACATCCGTAATTTCAGTATTCGACTGATTATTCAGTTTAGATTCCTTGTCCAGATACTTATTAGTTTGCTCCATATCGGGTAATATTAACATGAGGCATAAATTATGACGAGCTGTAGATAGTACATTATGAATACGATGCGTGGCTTCAGCCATCCATGAAGCATCAAGAGTGCCTCGGCGTGAAATACGTAAAGTCGGACTACATAGTCGTTCGGAATTACTGTTATTATCTCTATAGTCCAGTAAGTCTTGACTGATATCTTTATTACCTACTAACATCAAACAACGAAAATAAAAATGGCTATTTTTCAATAAGAACTTTCCTTTCCATAAATCCGGTTGTAGATGTTGGTCTAGTTCTTGAAGAGTGACGATTGATTTCAGGTTACATGGAATATCATCTACTGGACTGAGTATACCGTGGTTGTCCGAGTAGCGAGGTGTGTTCCGATTGTATGTGTGATATCGATTAGATATATGAAAAGATGGCTTTGCATAAGGTAAGTGTCGTACAGTAGTGAGATTTTTATCACCGGCGGGATCGTCTATGGAATACTGGTTCATCGTGTACGGTCCTCCATCAAAATGTTCATTTGTTCGAATACGACAGTTATTTGCAGTTACAAGAATTCCAGTATCAGACCTAATTATAGCATTTCGTGATTCTGACATTTGATTGTCTTGACTGTCACTTTCCATGTTAGAGTCCGTCTTGTTTAGAATCTGTGGCTTTGGTTGGATTAATTCAGGGTTTATAAAATCTACACGAAGTCTTAAATTTGGACGACTAGTTGCTGAGAGACTTTTTAATTGTCTATTAGCTTCGAGTGCTGATTCACAGCTGTCATAGATGGCGATTGCATATTTACGTCTAGGAGACCAATCAAGATAAGTCAGTTGTCCAAAACGAGAGAGCATACGCTGCAGTGAATCAGCGGAAGGCCAAGATTCTAATCCACCAATATACAGACAGTGCGATGGAATCGCTTTACCATAGCCTATCTTGCAATGTAAGGATCTAATGAAACGACCAGACATGGACATTTTTGCACGACTGGCCATATCAACATTCTGAAAGCGTACAAATGCATAAGAATGAGCACCGGGTTTCGGAGAACGCTTAATATCAATTTGTTCAACATAACCATATCTCTCAAAAGCTGAGAGTACCTCTTTTTCCGTTATATCTGGTTCTAAACTTCCAACAAACAAAGTCCTTGTAGCTTTTGACTCCTTTTCTGAATCGGATGCTCCAGGAGAGAATCCACTTCTGTTATGTTCATAGTGCCGAAGGTTTGCAGAGCCAAAGCGATTGTGAGAAGTGATTGCATTCAACTGTGCAGGTGGCAACACCCCAGGGACAGCATTCAGACCAAGAGCCTTTGCAGCAGCAGCCATCATGGCAGAAGATGCCATTCCAGGCATACCAAGTAGGCTTGTAGTACCTGATGGACCTAGTGGAGTTGGTTTAGGTAAAAAATCCGGAAAAGCGGACTCTACTTTGCCGGGAATATTGTGCATAAGGTGTCGTCGGTCATTAATATCTTCAGCTTCCATTCCTTCTTGACGTTTTTTGCTGGTAATTACTTTGCGCGTATCACAATCACTAGAAATATCCATTAATGAGGTAACGTTTGCAGGACGATCAAGTATGTAAATTGTTGGGCTATCACAGAGCGCTTCTTGTGCGTCTTCAGAATATCTGAAGATAAAGAGTTAATAATACATGACACAGGAAAGTAGTGATAAAAGTTTTCATAACGATAAACTAATAACAAGTAATTATATCTATTCTGGGACGTTATATGAAGCGTAATTTATGTTATGCATAAGTTCAATGCATAATTCGAGTCTTGTGCCGAGAATCACTTATTAAGTTCTTGAAATCCTTATTCACATCAGTCCATTTGTGACCCGTAAGGACAACAATACAGACTGGAATATTAAGGAGATTATATATCTTTTTTTTGTCCCTCCACATGTATGATTAGTTAGCACACATCTTACTGAATTTTAAACCTTTAGGTATTACATAGATTATCTTTTATAATTATGGCTTATTTAGCGAACGGTTGTTCCGAAGCTTCGTACCATGATTGTTTGCAGTCGTAACTGTAGTACGACCAGTGGAATTATCCTATAATTTTAAAAGTATTTACACTAGTTGTTCAACACTTGAAGTTTGACTTGTATCGATATCCAGTAGGTCACATTTTTAATCAAGTACAGGTTTGTATGTTTATTTTCAAATCACTCTTCCTGTGTGGCGAATACTGATAATACCTGGCTGTCCAAATTAAAGTAGCTAAAGTGTGGTCGAGATGAACAACCTAATGGCTGACTAATAAAGCATTTTACGTATACTGGTTCAGTCTACTACAAGCGATGTTGGTTGAAGTAATCAGATTGGAAAAAGAAGGTGGCGAGCTGTGGAACCACTGAATTTCGCTCTCAAATGTAAGAGGAGTGACAGGAATTGTGGTTTTAGAGCCTAGGTGACAAACCGCAAACCTTTTATAGTGGTCTGGATACTTTAACTCTTTGTCTTCAACATGTTAAACACTTCAAGTTTGGATATTTTTCGCTTTTGGCCCATATTTTCTGTATAGGTAGGTATTTTATTTTCTCCCCATTCACACTAATAGTCATGGGTGCAATGATGTGTTTGTGAGGTTCTCCTCTTATGAATAAGTCTATCTCGTTTGTCACTAAAGTAAGAGAAAACAAACTAGTAATGAAATATCGGGATAAGTCTGGAAAGTAGCTGATTTGTAATTACTTTATCTAATTGTATTATCAAAGGGATATCCATTTCGCCACTTGCTACTTGATTTACAGCACGTCTACAAATTCATTTGTCTAATTCGATCAGAATGACGAGTCGAATAACAATCGTACAGTAGCTAATTTCATGACAAACTATCTCTATCCTGATTACGCACGAGTGAATGACACACTAGGTTTATTAACACGTATAAGACATTTATGAAATAAAAAGTTGAATGTGTATTTGTCATTTCAGGAGAAGCATCATGCTTTGATTAGATATCGAAGTATCTTAAAAGGAATCTGTAAAGTGGTAGCTTAATGTTTAGGGTGTTTGACTATCAACTACTAAAAAAACTTGTTCGAGCTTCGGTTTAGTTACTTCGATTTGGACAACTAGGTAGTATAACTACCGCTTTAGCAAAGTGTGGCTTAAAGCCAAATATATACAATTGCGCCTGATGAGTTTCAAATGAATTGATTTAGGAAATTTAATCAGCTCAAAGTTTATCACCAAACTCATCGTGGATTAATCCTAAAACCAAATTAATTTTGCTAATCAAAGATTGAACAAAGTTTAACAATACACCTATGTTATAAAATGCTCTTTGGACCAGTTTTAATGAAGTAGTACGGAAACGAAAAAAGTTCCGTCTAAAACAATGTAGATTCAGAATAAGGTTTAGAAAAACTGATTGTTTATGTGAATTAATTAACATGCACCTGAAAAACTTACTGATAGGTAACCAGAGCGACGCGTTCGCCACCCAAATGCCCAACATTGATAGAAAGGTCTCCATACTTTCCTAGTTCCCGGTACACACATTGTTCAACAACATCAGCACTCAACTTAGATGAAATGTTTCTTACACATATAGTTCTAGAATGATCTAACCCATGAGTCCTTCCTTCTGAATTCTTCGGTCTTGAAGAATGTCTATTTGAGAGAGAATACTTGGACCTCGAACTAGGAGAGTTTCGAGATACCGATCGATGTCTCTCTGAATATCCTGATCGGTCTCTGTGTCGCTTCGACGGAGGCGAGAAGTCTTGATCTCCATGTCTTCGCATCGCACTAAGGCCTAAATCAGAATAGACACATATATGAGTTAAGTCAGAAGAACACAGCGGCATAGCAACTAATGGAAAAATTGAAGACACCTTACTGCTTCAAGATAGCCAATAGATTTATCCTGGCTTTCGAAAAGCACTTAAATAACGAGTATATAATGCGCGTAAATTGCCGACTACAGTAGTTATTTGGATAGTAATGCGAGAGCCGACAAGATATATTCCAAACTAACGTTATTAAGGAGTGGGAGGCACATCGCTACAGCCGTCACTGTAGGTTAATAATATGAAATATTAATGACGTAGACAAAATGACTACATGATGCATTTATTAACATCTATCAAGAGTGGAAAAGAAGCAGGACCAGACAACGAACCAGCTGAAGCACTGAAGTCAAACAAGCAAGTGAACAGGAGCATTAGAGCCGAAAACCAGAAATATGCGGAAGACCTAGCAACGACAGCAGAAATAGCTGCAAGATAAGGAAATATAAAACAACTACATGACACAATGAATAAACTAGCAGGAAAGTATAGCAAACCAGAGATACCGATCAAGGACAAACAAGGCAAGACAATCACTGAGATTCGAGAACATAAGAACAGATGGGTAAGAATACTTCGAAGAACTCCTGAATAGCCGAGCCCCATTAGATACACCAGATATCGAAGCAGCACCGACAAACCTTCAACAACAGAAGAAATCAAGATGGTCATCAGACAAAATCAAGAGCGTTAAAACAGCAGCTGGATTCCGTATACAATTCTAGTAGAATACCTGTAAGACAAATTAAATCCTAGAGTATTTATTTTGAGTGAGTCTATTTATAAATTTTTGAGAACTCGTCTATCAAATGAGAAGCATTATTAAGGGACGGTAATGATACAGATAAACGTAAACTCTGGCCGGGTGATTCATTTACCCCAAAAACGGTTCAGACAGTGTTTTCTCGGGACGCACAACTTGCCACTTGGTGAGTAGCCTCAGTAGTCAGATGCTTTGATAATATTAAACAGTGTAGTAATGGGTAATTTAATCATAAGTGAGATACATCGCCTAGGGTCTGTTTAGGGTTACTGCCCATCCCAAGACCGCGTGAAGCAGGATTGGGTTAGAGTTAGTAACCTTACTTTGTGAAAACTTCTGTAAAAAAGATAATCAGTGGTGAACAATATAACTCTGCTCCGAGAGTTGAAAGGACTTGAAGTAGGAGTTATAATCCCTCTTATGCCGAAAGCCAGAAATCTCAGGAAGTCACAAGCCCGACTCTGCTTTTGAAAACCACGGAAATAATAAAAATAAATGTGTGATCAGATTGTTCGAAATGTATTGCGCTAATATATCACATAGTTCTGAAAAACTTCGTCTTCTCATTGCATTATCGAAATTTATCAAAGGGGCTAATTGTTTTAAAAATAAATACACTAAATATATGAAAACCGTGGGGCGCCACGACGACCCTTCAAGTGGCACAGCCAAGATAGAATCTGGCTGTATTTGGAATAGACAACTCCGACCAAGCTGGACAAAAAGGACGGACTTCAGGAAAACGGTTATTGTACTCTAGTCACGAAGAGGGAAACGCCCCACATGCAAAAGTAGTTGTACTAATACAAATTCAGGATAGATCTCAGCAACGAGCTCCAAGTCCTACAAGATTTACTAGAAGAGAAAACCGCTATAGAGGGCTTCCATAAACCGATTAAGAATGCAATACTTCCAGCATACCAGATAGTACTGGACCCCGAAATACACTAGTACAAAGGATAAATTTCTGTAGAAAAATTGGGTAATATGTGCAAGGAAATATAGCTTTACTTTGAGCCTACAAATATATTTTGAAACGTGAAAGGGATAAAAGATAAGTGCTATGATCCAAGATTCAAAGATAAGGATTGAATGTCCCTGAACTACAATGGCCTTTTCTGACCAAAATCACATGATACAAACCTTGAAACGATCGAATTTATATTCTATTGTCTCATATGTACTACTCTATATATGGTGGACAAATGTACTTAAATACCGTGGTACGGTCGAATAGGGAGTCTCGAAATGCCCGCACATGGCCATATGTATACAGCCACTAACAGGGAAGTTCTAATCACTGCCTTCTCTCGGCGAGGGTGTTGTTTACAAAATTGAGAGGACAAAAAGCGAATGTCCGACGCTTTGACTGGTTTGCTGAATACGTAGGATCCACCTAGGAGTTCAAGAACCATGATTCCAAACCAATGGTGTACATAGGCTCCAGGATCTTGGAGGTACAAATGGCGTATGAGCCCATTGTTGGTCACCGGCTACCATGGGACTGCATCTCCTAACGTTGCTTCATGGTCTTGTAGGTTAAACCTATAGGTCAAAGGCTCGGGGAGAGGTCCCTTAATAGAACCACCTGTTTCGGTTTGAGCAACTAAGCAGTCCTAATCCCTATAAAAATCGAACGGCGAAGTGTGGTGCATATCTATTTGGTATTTTCTTGTACCGTTGTTTATCTGCTTAAATAAATAAACAAATAAAATGGACACTAGTTACTTTGAATACATGACGTTGATAGGTGAAGTGTCACTTCCCGCAGTTCGGTTTCACAATGATATTAGGGTAACAATGAACCATGATCTTAAGACTACGGCCCACTATAATGTGTTCACAGCTAAGAGGTTTATAATTTGTTCACTACAGTATACATGACCTTTATGAAATGCAAACTTGAAAACTGAGTTTACGCTTTAAACCCGATTGGAAGATGACTCGTATATGCCGAAATAGTAGAGGGTAGATACCCGTGAAACTCCAGAACTTTGGGATTAACCACACAAAGAACGGCTTGAGGAGCTAAACATCTTTACTCTGTACTGCCTCGTAAGAGGTTATCTGATCTTGATTTACTAGGTAACGATTCTTTTCCAATAGAACAAAACAACTCAGAGGAAGTAGCAGGCGAGTAAAGAAGCCAAGAACGAACAAAATACCAGTGGCAAACAAGTTTTCACACCGTCATGAATTTTCGGGACCTGTTACCCGAAGAAATGGTATCCGTCTCTTCAAATGACTCATTCAAAAGAAGACTAGACACTCTCATAAGCTTCCCAGAAAACTACTAACACAGGCTGTAAGGGTTATGTCCTCACTACACAAACCTGAATATGACCTCAGCGACTACTAGAATGACCTTCAGTTGCTCTAACCCGCCGATCGACAAAATAACAAGAATGAATAGACTAGTGTATTGAAAACGGTTGGAGACGTAATGATAAATAATTTTCATATTTTGACAGCTTTTAATTTCTCGGTATCGTTATTGACAGTGTTAGTCCGCAAGCCAACAGCTGGTAAAGCTCAGTCAAACATCATTGAGAATTAACCGCGAGTGAGTCAGTAATTTAGTAAGTCACGCTATTCTTCCCCAGCTAAGATAGTCCTAGCACAGCTATAAAGATATTTCGCGTTAGTGATACTTTAACTCGCAAATGAAGTGAAGTGATAGAGGCCTACGCAGATATTGACTATTCTATTGACTTAAAGTATTATTACGCAATGATCTCGAAATCAATTAGACCTGAGGTCGACATCGAATAAATGCTTTGCATGTTACAACAAAAGATTGACGTTCTGTAGTGTACGAAGTCCAAACCGACTAGTCATCGCGGAAAGCACATTCAGTGGTGTATTCAAACGTAATCTGGTGTGTTTTCTGAGCTGTGTGTTTCAACTATGGATTTGTAGGACCAAATCATCCTGCGGTCGTGTAGTGAGGATGGTTTTCATTTTTTAATAATGCTTACTATCTACTTTGTATTTACTGTTTTTTGTTATGGTAAACCAAGACTTAACATTCTTATTACGCGTATATCACCTTGATTTTGTTTTCCATTTACTTACATGCGATTCGGGTTCTGTGAATACTTAAACAGTCTATTGAATTCTCCTCAAACCCTACTATAGTCTTTATATATGTTTTTTTCCAGCTATTACACTAATAATACCCAAACAAACATTCAGAACAGCGGTCAGTATATGTAACAACATCGTCAATTTGCCGTATCATTAAAACATGCAGCCGAAAAACAGTAAATATTCAACTCTAACGTCACCCGTTTTGTAGTTTGTTCAAAGAAATCTATGAAACTCAAAACGTTAAATTTAGCAATAAGTGACCACTTATTTTCGCATCATGGCTGACAAACATACTACCTTACCCATCATAAAATACTGATTTAGCATATTCATTATGTGCGAGAATACAAAGACTTAAATGGTTTATAACATCTGAAACACTACTGACTGTTTTCACCACACTAACCACTCACTAACAGTATATTAGCTAGTTCCTCAACATCACCATATGAAATATGGTCCGTATGGTCGATATAATCATAAAAGAAACACCGTCCATCGAACAACCTATATAATTGTTTATCACACTGAGCATTTTTGCCTCGTGGCTCTTAACTAACAGATGATTACGGTACACAAATCGACAGTTCAAATACTTGATGAATCACCACCTTTTTAGTGCATTTGTTAGTGTGATGAGATTCTCATGGCATTACTATCGGTTCCTACCATATCCAAACATTCTTTGTAAGATAAAGTAAACAGAAATATAAATTTTACTCGCCGAGTTTACCTTTTATATGTATACAGGATACCATCTTTTAAAACAACAAACAGTTGACTATAATGTAAATACACACCCACAATTTTCACCTTATATTCCCATAAAAGCAGTAAGAAATAAAAATGAAAACTTTGGGTTAAATAGACTAAAACAGACGGGATGCATCTGAAAAATTGTATAGCAATAAACATCGATAGTCATTGCTATATACATGTGAAGTATAACTGCGATGAATTCAAACAAAGTTTACAATGCTTAACAACAAATAGAAAACAAAATTTCACTGAGTAAACTCAAATAAACATTAAGTTAAATAGTCAGAAGAATTCCGATTCCGTTACCTGTTCTCATGTAAGGAGAAACATGCTTTTGATTTTAATTTTCTGGATGCTTTTTACAATCAAATAGGTAATTCAGATCAAGCTTTTGCGACAAAACACTATTTAGCCTCCGTTTACTAGATTTCTGAAAACCTTTAGCTCTAGGTACACTTATAACTTGACGAATTTATTTTTACGTTGATGAAAGTGAGAAAAAACATGAAACCTGAGGCTTTCTGTTTGTAAACAGAAAACCTTCACTAACTTTCCAACGGCCTAGTACTTGTTGACAATTCAAACCATTTTCAGTGTTCTTACGCATGTTCGTCACGTGATCGGCGGATAATATTGTAGCGGTAGACCGTACTATGCTATACATTTACACGTGGAGATCGTCCGGTCGCACCGAACTATTATTGACGTAACGCCTTTAATACGTTGCACAAGTATCGCATCCAGGTGTTCAAGCAACCATCCAGTTCATATCAGAACGGTTGTGCCGGCTTGGTATGAATAAAGACGTAGGGAGTGAACAAGCCCCCGTGAAATTTGACAGAAACACAACAAATGTCGCTTAGGTTCATTCAAAACTCACAGTACTCTTTTCGGCCATGTTCATTTGGATTTGGTAGGACCTTTACCAAATTCGAAAGGATACTCTCATCTCTTAACCTGCATATACCGTTTCACTCGATGGCCAGAAGCAGTACATATCAAGGACATCACTGCTGAAACAGTGGCCCGCGCTTTCGTCGGACGATGGGTAGCACACTTCGACGGTTTCTCAACTATCACAACAGGCCGTGTACGCCAGTTCGAATCCGGACTTTTCCGTTGTCTGACCACACTATTAGGAATCAAACGATTCCGAAGAACTGTCTACAACCCACAAACAAACAAGTTGGTAGGACGCTTTCATCAACAGCTCAAGGCTTCACTATCAGCTGCAAACGTTTCGCAGTGGACATGCGCTCTTCCTCTCGTCTTACTTGGTATTCGCAATGCAGTGTAAGCTGACATTGAATGCACTGCGATCCAACTCGTTTCTTAAACGACAATTCGACTTCCATGACAATTCGTTGTCCCTTCATCTTCTTCAATCAATATGGACTTAAACTCTAACACGAGAAGGCTTACAAACGCTGTGAGTTTGATTAGATCTGATTTCATACGACCGCAATCAACTGATGTATTCGTTCTACCTGCTCTATGATATAATGCTTACATCATTGTACGCCGCGACTCACTTCGACGCCCTCTCGAAACAGCATACAAAATGCCCTTCAAGTTCTTCGGCTTGAATCTAATTACCATAGATTCGATCACATCAAAGCCGCGTATTTAAAAAGAAACGCTATTCATATATATTTTCCTTCGGTACAATCAAAAGACACAAGTCCCACAATTACGATACCTCATCAGATAGCAAGCAATCACGGTGATACTTTCGCGTTATCTGACAACAGACTCAAAACAACACTATCTGGAAGAATAGTAAGGTTTCTAGAACACGCAGGATACTACAAAACACATGGTTTCGTCTTGATTTATACTATTAATATGCTCATATATACACATTTTATTCCAAAAAATAACGAAATTTTGTTTTGTTGTTAATACACTTTCCTATATAAGTATATTTCCCTTTTTTAAATCACTCTGGAGAAATCTTTTTTACGCTATCGCGTGTTTACTGAACGCATGTAAATGTGTTTATTTTCGTTTTTTGCTCTTTTTGTGTCTCTACACACATAAAAGTGCAATTCGACATGCAATTACATATCCTTTTTTCTGTTACAAGACAGCTGGAAAAGATAAAAAGTACGATGAAGTTTACGATGAACCGAAATTTTCATCGTAAATTGTTTCTTTATTACTGTATTTTCAACATAATCCCTTATAGTAAGGAAATACGACCAGACGCTGCCAAACATAGCAAGCTATCAGAAGAGTGTCTACCAAAGACGAACTCGATGGGTTTAAAATTCTGGCTGGCCACTTTTTAGGGTCATTATTACCAAACAACTGGGTGGAGTGATCCGTAACAGTAAATCGATCCCCAAAATCATTAGCTTCGTAAGTCTTCGTAGTTTGATTCTGACCGCATAAGTTTTATTGAACTGACCAAGATGAAGGCACTCGGTCACACATCCGTGACAGATCACGAGTGGGTGTTCTATCCCCAACTTTTAATGCAAACTCTGACCAGCTTAGATAAATCACTTCTCAAAATATCCATAGGCTATCAAATATATCTTTGAAACTGCTTACTTCTGACTTCTGATTTCCCTGGGTTAGTACTTTTCGGTTGTAGATAGTTTTACTGGTTGATGTGCTGTCAAAACCTAATTACTTGTGGCTTCTTTAATATCATTAACATATAAATATAATGATGAGGTAGTTGGCTCAAAATCAACTGGTTTCATTTTATTGACACCACCAAACTATAAACTGCGCACCATACATCAAATACGAAATGAATTGTGATTAATTGTTTTATGTTCGACCTCATCATCAATGGTTCTAACGTTCGAGTACGATTTGTATGCTCGACAGATATAGTGCGAGAACAATGCTATAGATCACTCAAAGACCGACCAACTGGTTTATAATACCATCCTTTGACAAGTCTTGTCGTTTCATAGAAATTTTCTGACATTGGCGAAGGCGAAACGTTCAGCAAAGTATACAGTTTATACTCTTTACTAACTACTTAACGAAAAATAGCCAACAAGTGTACAGAACTTTAGATAGGAAAGGTTTTGCGATTGGGATTCAGTTGAATGTTGTTTATATTAGGACAGAATTGATGACTGTTCAGAATACTGATTAACGCTTATCTCCAAAGTGATGGTGAAGTCAATAACCGATCGGGTTGTGAGCCGAAGAATTATTGCTGGAAAGAGAAAGGAACACTACTAAGTACACCATCAAGGAAGTGAGACTCAAAAGCACATTATAGCTTAGCTAGGTTCGTATTTCAGTGTCCGCCAATTAACATCGCATAAATTATAATTACCGGACTTCCTCCAAAATTTACAAACTTTGCACATATTTTATAGTCTCTAAGTGTGTAACCGAGTGACATTGCGCATCTTTCCAGAAAAATATTTGGAGAATCCCTGTTTTCATGCTTCCGAGTTGTCCGCCATTATGACTTAAAAACTGGAATACTCTGGTCCAAAATAGATTACATTTTGGACGGCATTTGAGTTAAAGACAATTATATCAAACTATGCCGAAGTTTGAACATCTTTAA